AAATGGGGCCAGGGATTTATCTCAGGGGTTCTGCCTCTGCCTCACAAGCACAAGGTCCTGAGTTCGATCCCCAGTACCAAAAAACAAAGCAACAACAAAAAAAACAAACCCCAAAATGGAGTAAACTGAGGTTTGGAAATAGTACAGAACTTGCAGCTCTCACTCCACAAGGCTTGTACTGGAGTCCCCTCACTGGAAGCCAGAGATGGGACATTGGTGGCTTTCCTCTCTGTGCTCTGCACCCCTCCCTACCTGCATTTTCACTTAAGATTCTTCCAGATGCAATTCTGAGACCAGGATTTGGAAACCGTTTATTTGGGAGGTGATCCCAGGGAACATTGGTAGGGATTGGGGAAGCGAAGCAAGGAAAGGAAGGCAGCCAGGAAATGGTACTTTTCCAGGCATGGTGGCACAGGCCTGTAATCCGAGGTCCTTGGGAGGCCAAGGCGGAAGAATTATGAGTTCCAGGCCAGCCCTTGCAAGTCAGAGATACTGTGTCAAAGAAAGAAAGATGGAGGGAGGGAGGGAGGCGTGAAAGGGAAAGAATGCTGCTGAACAAGTTGCTGGCTATGAGTAACTGGGAATCAGTTCTGCTGGGGAACTTTGGAAAATGAACTATCCTGGCTGAGGGATAAGGAAGCTGGTTTACATATCCCCTGCTCCTGCTCTTCATTGGCTAAAGGCTGCTGGGTTGGAGGTGGGTGGGAGGGGCTCGCAGGTGGGAGGGGCTCCCTGGTGTGACAGCTGGCTCTGGTGGTCAGAGACTACCCTGAGCCTGAGAAATGAAGGTGTTGGACACTGAGGTCTGGTTGGCATGCTCTGGTGCGGCAAGGGTGAGGCAGGAGATGTACAGATGGGGACCATGGACCTGTCCTGTGCCCAGAGTACAAGCTAACTTGGTGTCTAGCACTGAGGCTTAACTAGTACGGATCCCTGGCTCTGCTCACCCCACCCCGATGTGAGAGTGGCAGGGAATCCAGGCACCATCTTGCCAGAGGTCAGACCTCCATGTCACACAGAGGAAACAGTGGTGTTATTTTTATCTAAGGAGTTCGGATCTTAAATGTCCATGTGTTGGCAGTTTGGCTTCCAGATCAGGTGTTATGTGAAGGTGGTGGAAACCTTAAGAGGCGGGGCCTAGTCTGGGCTTGGTGACCCACGCCAGTGATCCCATGGGGCTGAGACAGAAGGATGGAGGGTTTGACACCAGCCTGGGGGGAGGGTAGTGGGAGGTCTTTCAGTTGTTGAGGGTCTGTCTTTGAAGGGGTAGAGGACCCCTGTCCCTTTTGCTTCTTGGCCATGAGAAGAGTGACTTTGATTCACTATACACTTCCACCACGAGAGATACTTCACCACAGGCCCAAAGCAATCGAGTCAGTTGATCATGGATTGAAATCTGTAAAAACTATGAGCCAAAATAAACCTTTCCTCCTTAGAAGTTGATTATTGCAAGGGCTGGGGATATAGCTCAGTGATGCTGTACCTGCTTGGCAGGTGCGAGGGCCTGAGTTTGATTCCCGGTAAAAGCTGATTATTTCACGAATCTGTTATACTGCGAAAAGCTGATTAACACAGGAGATACAAACACAAAATATCTGAAATTTACTGCCAGGGACAGGGCTATGACAGACAGGACATGATTCTTCCAGAAGCTGAGTTCCAGCTCACCCGGATGTTGAGTGACACTCTTCAAAGGCTCTCCCAGGTCTCTTAGCAATTAGCATGTGTCATTAAAATCTTATCTACAATTATGTTCAACAATCTAAATTTCAGTTTCAGATTTTTACCAGTCTTTCCATCCCTAAACACACAAGTAATTCAGAGGCCTTTAAAATACACAAACCCCACAGGAAATTCGATATCCTAAATCACACTGAACATTTTATGGAGAGGCAAAACTTTAAAATGAATCCTTGAAAGTAGTGCTTCTTTACATTGAAATTTAAACTTGCAAGTTGGTGAGCTGTTGCTGTTAGTTAACACTTCTATTTTAATAACAGAAAATGTGCCTTAAAAGGAGACAAAGAGGGAACAGGGCTCAATGACAGGATGAGAGAGTCTGTCTGAGCTACCTTTGAGGCACACACATGAGGACACTTTCGGAGACAAGAAACATCCTACAGCCAGATGTATGCCAACACTTGGGAGGCTGAGGCAGGAGGATCCCTGTGACTTTGTGGCCAGCCTGCACTACATAGTGAGACATTGTCTCACACAAAACAAAACAAAACAGGACATACTCATTGAGTCAAGCCCTCTCTGGGAGTAAGCCAATTTTAAACCAGGCATCTTGTTGATTTCTTTAAATTCTTCAGGGACACTGAAGAAAATTATATAGTAAGTCATTTCCTCAGGGAACAAAGTCAACTTTTGGTCTGAAAACTATACAAGGTTCTTATAAGCAGGAAGTTGTTGAGGGCCTACAGGAGCTCTGATCCATGGAAAATGATATTTCTTACTTTTTTAAAAAAAATTAATTTTTTTGTTGCTGAATACCCACTCTTTACTGCATAGGCTGATGTTTACTTTTTCGGTGGTTCAATCTCATGAAAAATATACACCGCTTCATGAATTTACATGTCATCCATGTGAAGGGGCCATGCTAATCTCTGTATTATTCCAAATTTTAGTATATGTGCTGCAGAAGTGAGCACACTATTTTTTTTGCAGGGGTGTAGCCTGGAATTGTTTTCTTCTTTTGAGACAGGGTCTCACTAAGTTGCCCAAGCAGGCCTCAAATTTGTGATCCTCCTGCTTCCCTTTAGTGCTGATAGTACAGGAGTGTGGCACCATGTCTAGCAAAAATGACATTTGTTTTTTTATACTATGTTCACCTTGTGTACACATTTATATATATCATACTTTCATCACACTGATAGAACAACACTATACAATCAGACAGGCCCTTTCTTGCCTCCATATCCCCCCACTGTAGAATACTTTGTTCCAGAAATGTAAGTTTGTGCTGCTGGTCAGTGCTCTTGCCCAATGTACCAAAATGTTTTATAACTGTTTGAATTTTGTGACTGCTCAGGAATGTTTTGTTTAGTTCTGCCCCCTTTCAAGAATGTTCTGTTAGCTCCTCCCAATTGCAAGAATGTTCCATTAGCTCCACCCCTCTTAGGAATGCTGTTAGCTCCACCCCTCTCTGGAATGTCCTATTAGCTCCCCCCAATTTTAAGACTGTTGTTAGCTCTGCCCAATCGCAAGAATGTTCTGTTAGCACCGCCCCTCTCTGATGTTGTTAGCTCCGTCCATTTGAAAAAATGTTAGCTTCACCCCTCTCTGGAATGTTCTATTAGCTCCACCCAATTGAAAGAATGTTGTTAGCTCTGCCCTTCTCTGGAATGTTCTGTTAGTTCCGCCCCTCTCCAGAATGTCCTGTTAGCTCTGCCCATTGCAAGAATGTTCTGTTAGCTCCACCCCTCCCTGGAATGTTCTATTAGCTCTGCCCAATTTCAAGAATGTTCTGTTAGCTCTGCCCCTCTCTGGGATGTTCTTTTAGCTCCACCCAATTGCAAGAATGTTGTGTTAGTTCTGCTCCTCTTAGGAATGTTCCATTAGCTCTGCCCCTCTGTGGAATGTTCTATTAGGTCGGCCCCCTCAGGAATGTTTGGTTAGCTCTCCCCGATTGCAAGAATGTTCTGTTAGCCCCGCCCCTTTCAGGAACGTTCTATTGGCTCTGCCCCTTTGCTTCAGTGAGCATGCTTGTCTACCCTGTAGGTCGCTATATAAGGAGGATCTCATCTCTGATGAGGTGCTCAAAGTTCAGAGCCTGCTGGTGTAATAAATGCTTTTCTGGGGCTTGGGATTTAGCTTAGTGGTGCCACCTGCCTCACAAGCACAAAGTCCTCAGTTTGATCTCAGGTACCAAAAAAGTAAAATAAAATAAAGGTTTCTCTCCACCTCTTTGAGTGACCATTGGATTCTTGAGTCTTCAAATTTTGATAGCCACAACATAGAGCTGTAACACTAAGCTGTGCCTCAGAGCTGTGGCACTTGGCTGTGACACTGAGCTGTAACATTTGGCTATGGCAGACAGCTTTTCCGCTTTGCCACAATACTTAATCTTACAACTAGTTATATTTACTGAACAAGATGTGATAGATCTTTCAGTGTTACTCATGATTAATTGGCATCTTACTGGCTGTATAGTATTCCCACTAGATAGATTCACATAATCTCTCCTTTTTTTCAGTTAGGGTCTCACTTTGTAGTTCAGGCTGGCCCTGAACTCATTATGTAGCTCAGGCTGGCCTCAAACTTATGCCAATTCTCTTGCCTCTTCCTCCCAAGTGCTGGGATTACAGATATGAGCCACCTAGTCCAACAATCTCTCCTTTTGATAGACATTGAGGTTATGTTTTACTTTCCCCTATGGTAAAAGAAATCTATCATAACTGAGGATTTGTTATATGCCAGTCACTGTTCTAAACACTCTATATTATAACTGATTTAATCCTCATAGCAAGACTTATGAAGTATATAATTATCATATTATTGATAGAAAGAAATGAGGTGAGAGTTAAATAACTTGCTTGAGATTGTCCAGGTAGTAAGTAGCTCCAGCATCTATATTATTATCAAAGGCAATAGCGGCGGATTTAGCTCAGTGGTGCCATGCCTGCCATGCAAGTGCAAAGGTCAAGAGAGATCTGTCCCCAGTACCAAGAAAAAAAAAAGAGAGAGAGGCAGTGACCTATCTATGTGTGGTGGTACACATCTGTAACCCAGCACTCGGGAGGCTGATCTGAATTTGAGACCATCCTAGGCTAAATAGCAAGACCCCGTCTCAAACCACACCACACCAAGTAAAAACAAAGCAAACTCATTGTCCATTTCCAACCCTTTTCTCTTTGTCTACCTCCACCATTTAACTAGAAAACTCAATTCTATTTTCCCCAGCCTTGTCTTTGGAAGTAGAAGCCAAAGAAGCAAACATGATAGGTGCTGAAGTCTGCTGGGAGCTTCTAGCAAATACTTTGGATTTCTTGTTAGTCTTGAATACAGACTAGATGCTTTATGGTAATGTGGCCATCTCACTGTTTTGCAAGTATAAGGGAAAGGCCAAGGGAATTGCAGAGATGCCCACTCTGACACTGTCAAGCTTGAAAACTAATGCCAGGAGCTGCTTGTTTTTCCGATTTAACAGAATGCTAGAAAAAGGATTTTTCTTATATTTTTTGAGTGGGATACTATGACTCAAACCCAGGGGCATGCTATCACTGAGCAGCATCCTCAGGCTTTTTTATTTTGGGACAGTGTCTTGCTAAGTTCCCCAGGCTGGCCTTGAACCTGTGATCCTCCTGCTCCAGCCCCTTGAGTCTTTCTTTTTCTCTTTCCTTCCTTCCTTCCTTCCTTCCTTCCTTCCTTCCTTCCTTCCTCCCTCCCACCCTCTTAGCACCGCAGAAACGAAACCATCCTGGTCTATGAAGATTGAGGTTGCACAGCTGTAGGCTTTTGGCACAACCTTGTGAACAGACACAGAAGTATTATTGCGCCTCGCCCCCCTTGTGGTACTGGGGATTGAACCCAGAGCCTTCGCCTTTGCATTAAACTACATCACCAGCCATTTTATTTTGAGGCTTTTTTTTTTTTTTGGTGCCAGGGATCAAACTCGGGTCCTTCGGCTTGCAAGGCAGGCGATGGAACCACTGAGCTAAATGCCCCGCCCAACCGTTTTATTTTTATTTTGTATTTTGAGACAGTCTCGATGAGTTAAATTGTCCAAACCTGCCTCAAACTTGAAGTCCTCCTCCCTCAGCCTCGCGAGTGCTGGGATTACAAGTGTGCTCCACCACGCCTGGTGACAATAGTTTGAACAGCTCATTGCATGTATTTCTATATCAAAATAAACAACTGGAAATAAATATTCAACTCCAGTGAAGGATAAGTAAGCTGACGTACTTGGGGTGGGGAAGGTCTCTAATTTACTTTGAATGCGTCCAAAAATTAGTGCGGGTCACGGGAGGACCTGCCTTCAACCCTGGGAAACGGGGGACAGCGGAAAATAGCAGGTATGGGTGAGGATGTGTGGAGAAAGAAATCATTGTGCACTCACTGTTGGTGGGAACGGAGAATGGTGTCGCCAACATAGAAACTACGATGGTGCCTCAAAAAATTAGAACAGAATTAACGTAGAGTGTAGTGGTCCCAGATCTGGGCGGACATCTGTAGCGTAGTGTGTCTCCTCAATGAACTGGTGGGGTTCCCTAAATGATACAGCCATCCTATTTGAAATTGCAGTGAAAAATTGCAAACACTAGAGAATGGTCTACTGGTTTGATTGTCCTTCTCCCTTGAGAGTGTCGGCTCCGCCAACACAAGGATTTTCTATTTTGCTCACTGTTGTACCCACAGCACCTAGAGAAGTGTCTGATGTGATACGTGCTTGTTAAGTCAGTGTTTTTTTGTTGAGAATAGAAAGTGTAGGAAGAGTAAGTAAGATTGTGGGACCTAAATTACAAGCCCTTGCTAAATGGCAAAGGGCCTAGGAGACAGTGTCCTGAACCCCTCCCATTGTAGCCACAGCCCCGACCTTTGTTCCAGCCCTGGCCTAAGAATGTGGATCACTCTTGTATTGTTTGAAGTCCGGATCTGAATCTACCTGTAAATTAGAGACTCCAGACATAGAGCCCCAAGTTAATTGACAAACTATTTGCTCATCCAGAGTGTCTTGGTGACCTTTGAGACATCCTATGGGTGGTACCTGTCACTCATCAATATGTGACTGTTGAGCATGTGACTGCTGACTACCAGCTCAAGTCAGCAGACCTTTGTCCCGTCTGTGAGCCCAAAAATGTTAACCCCCTCTTTTACTCCCTATAAGAGGACCTCAGCCCCTGAGCTAGGCGCCTCTCTGAGCCAGCCACTTGGTTCTGAGAGTGCCGTCTGGCCAGACTAATAAAGGTCTTTTACCATCTAGCCTGGTGTGTTCCTTCCTGGGTTTCTCGTTCCTCGATAGCGGAGCCTCATTGGGCTTTAGGGCCCAACATTGCAAAGGCCTTTTGGGCTGTTTGCGCTCCGTGGAGTGGAAGTGAGACTTTTAAGTCTTACAAGATGTACAAGAGTCACAGTTACAACCAGGAAAATAAAATCACCTTTCCTCTCCCTCTGCTGCTCTGATGGTGCGGGGCTCAAAGAAACACCTGAATCTTTTCAGCTATTAATCAAAGCGGTGGCCCCAGCGCTGGTATAATCCAGGAACAAAGATGAGCCATCCAAGTGCTCAGGCCACCGGTGGGGGAGGAAAGGCACCTTTTTCTTTGCCACCGCTTGCCTCTGTGGCGACAAGTGAATGGGGGCGGAAATTGAGGTCTAAGGAAGCCTTCTACTTAAGTAGGAGTCAGTATTTTGCATAATAATGGAAAACCCCAACTCCATTGTGGGAGGAAGGCTTGCATATCAGGGCAATTAAATAAGGAAGCAAGTACTTGCAGATTTAGAATGTGCTGCAGCCTAAAAGTAATGGTGGGGGGTTGGTTCCCCAGCTCTTTTTAGATAATGGAGACCCTGAGGTGACTTTGGGCAGTGCCTAGGAATGTCGCCGCCTGCCCTGGGCAGGCTTTGGGGTCTCTTTGGAGTGGATCATCCAGGAGGAAGGGTCCTCATATAAAACTGACCCCTTCTTAACGTCTACTTGGTGACAATGACC